ACACCTATAAAGGAACTATAATAACAAAGAAAAGACAAGGTCCTATCCACGATATGGAAAAATTATTGGTGATATGGATAGAAGACCACAGATAAGTGCCCTCAAGTGTTCTAAACCATACAGGCTAAAAGCAAGAAGCCTGTTCCAAAGCCTGAAGGAGCAGGCAGGAGATGAATGTGATCAAACCTTTACAGGGAAGTCAAGGTGGTTTGATGATTTAAAAATTATAGCCCTGATACAGTGTTAAGGTGAGGAGAGGCAGCTAGTGCCGAGCAGCAGCGCTGCTTTTTGGCGAGGGGAGTTAGATGATGTGATTGTGGAAGGGAATTATTTGCCAGAGCAAATATTCAATGTGGATGAGACTGATTATTGTGGAAACGCATGCTCAATCGACATACATCCACAAAAGAGGCAGAAAAAAATGCCCGATTCATGGCAGTATCTGGCGACAGAATTACACTTCTGTTGGGGGAAATGTTGTTGGTTTCAAGCCAGTTTTCTCCTCATGATCTATCATTCAGAGAACCCTGTGGCTATATGGAAAAATTATGTGGTGGGGAGAAGGAAGAACACTATAATGATACAGAGAACCTGGATGACCCTAGTACTATTTGAGGATTGGTTCATGACTTGTTTCATTCCACGAGCTAAGGAGTATTGTCTGCAACAAAGGATTCCATTCAAGATTTTACTGATTTTGATAATGCTCCGGGACACCCACCACACCTGGACGACATGCACCCTGGATGTTAAGGTAGTCTACATGCCACCTAACACTACCTCTATCATCCAACCCATGGATCAAGGTGCTATTTCTGCCTTTAAAGCATATTATTTACGCATCTACCTTCAGGCTGTTGCTGCTACTGAAGGTGAGAAAACGCCAGACAGTTTTGGAAGGAGTACAACATTTTGTCATGTATAAAGAACATTAGTGCAGCATGGGATCAGGTTACAAAACATTGCATGAATGGAATATGGAAGAAAATCCTGAAAAGATATGTGAACAGTTTCAAAGGATTTAATGAAAGTGAAGTTATTTTGGATATTAGTAACAAGATAGTGGACTTAGGTAAACAGCTGGAGTTAGAAATTGATACTGAAGATGTTGGACAGTTGGTTGAAAGTGTAGCAGAAGAGCTCAGTAACGAGGATCTTATTGAACTAGATGCACAGAAAGTTGCAGAGGAAGAAGAGAGACAAAATGTAGAAGAAGAGCCTGCACCCCCAAAAGTTTTCAGTGAAACATATGGCAGAGGCATTTGCTACAATTAATAAAGGAATGCAAATGTTTGATGGCATGGATCAAAATTATGAGCTGCTATGCCAAAGTTGACAGAATGATCCAAGATTCACTTGCTTGCTACAGAGAAATTTATAATGAAAGAAAAAGAAAATCGTGCAGTCTAAATTGACACCTATTTCAAGAAGTCCCCAGTACTGGCTCCTCACGCCACCAGTGCTGCCTCTTCACTCCCTCAAGATGATCCAATACCTTCAACCAGCAAGTTACCACAGTACATAAACCTGTCTGAAGGAAGCTTACATTGATGACCCACCCAGCCCTGTCTCCTCTTCTGCTTCTTCCAATTAATATAGTCTCCATGTATCCTGTAAATAGAAAATTATGGGGGCCCTGTGTGCATTCAGCTGACTACATTTAAGGTAAGTGCTCAGTCACACTGTATCCATTCCTCATTATTTATTACTTTACTGTACTGTATCCATTCCTCATTATTTTTACGTTTAGGTACTGTATTTCATTAGAGATTTTAAAAATTTGAAAAAAAATTTTTGAATTTTTTTTTTGAAAATTTTTTATCTATATCGGACTTACGACCATATCGGACTTACGACCTGATTTGGTCCCTAACCCCGCCGTAAGTCGGGGTCTAGGTGTATTATAAACCCGCAGATATGTTAAGGGCCACTGTACTTGTTTCATGAGAAAGGAGGCTACCATTATACCTGGTAGGTGAAGTTGACCAGACATTTATGGTGATCATGACCAAACTCCGAATCCATGACGGACTTCTGTTCATCATTTATATCCTAAATTTACCACTGTCGTAGTTTCAAGAATTAACGCATCGAATATTCTTTGTAAAAAATAAATTTTAAATGAATTATTTATAGGAGATAAATATTATGATCAGTAAGTATACAGATATGCATTACTGACCACCTCCAACACAAGGACGCTGCTAAAAATAGCCACAGGCGGTCACAGTCAAGGTCACTTTCCTTTCTTGTCACTGGCAAATGGGGTGGTGATGATAGCAGCTGTGTTTATTACCGTATATTGTTCTTTACGTATGTTAGACAGGTTTATAATACATTTTTATTATTTTAATATACCGGTAATCTTCATTTTAATCCAGCTTCCCAAACGTAAGTTTCAGTATAAAAATAATTAGTGGTAGGACCTTGAGTGGTTTACGATGTTTCCATCACCACTCTTGACACGCTAAACCGCAATATTTAAGAGGTAAGAATTTATATCTAGTGCTTAAGACAACCCCTAACTTTGGGCTAATTTTTTATGGTTCAAATTCCTTCTTATAGGCCGAGATATACAGTAAATTATTTCTGCAATTGTTCACAAGCAAAACACATAAATCAATTGAACATGTGATGTCGAATGTGAACTGTAAACACTGCATAACCCCGTGCCAAGCCACAACAACCGTTCGAAGGGAATCGCGTTAGAGCAAAACCGTTCACGTTGTCAAAACACGTGTTATAGCAGAACTCCCTGTAATATCTTCTTCACATTTTGAGATCTAGGTACAGTAAACTCAAGATCCGGACCCGTAACGGATTTCAGTAGATAGGGACAAAAAAATTGGGGTTTCTTAGCGAATAAGCCTCCCTAAGAAGCATTCCCAAACAGGGTGAAGGTAGTTTTAGGTTTAAAAGTTTTATCTAATAAAATGTCACAGACTAAAATTAGGAGAATTTAATTTGCATTGCTGGAATCCTTGCAAAACAGCAAATAATTTGAATATAAACATCATATATTTTGCACAAGAGAGAATGATTTTTGTCCTTTAGTGTAGTACATTTAAGTACAAGTTTTTCATCTTGTATTTTTGGGTAGATATACTAGATATATATAACTTCCTTCATTTAATTTTAGGCATTTACATGCACACACCATCCTTAATACATATTGTGAAAAAAGTAAAAGAAATAATTATCCTAATGTACTAAATAATTACTAAAATTTTCATGTCTAGTACAAACTATAAAATGTTTATATTCAAATTAACCAAATCTTTTAAGAATTCCAGCAATATAAGTTATACAGTATTCTCCCTAGTCAATTCACTGACATTTTATGTTTAAAAACTTAAAACTCCATCTATATGACAGATAAATATATACCACTAGGTAACCTTTGCAGCCGGCTGGTCAATACCTCACCTCCTCCCCCTGCCTGGCTGCCAACACTTCACCTCCCCCTTCCCAGGGGTGAAGGTAGTTTTAGGCTTAAAGTTTTTATCTTATAAAAATGTCACAGACTAAAGTTAGGAGAATATAACTTGTGTTGCTGGAATCCCTGCATGATAGCAAATAATTTGAGTCTAGACATTACATATTTTGGCAACAAAAAAATTTTTTAGTCCTTTACTGTAATACATTTAAGCAAAAATGAGTACCCTGTACAGTAATATGTTGCTCAAAATTATGGCTTTTTCACAGGAAAAGGTCTGTATAACTGACCCCAATAGTCAGGATAATATGTACAGTATAGTCTGGGTTTATGCAGATATTTTATACGCTGCTGGCCATTTATGCACACCGTCCAGACGCCCAATTATTAGTTACCGGGTACATTCCTTAATTTACGTGGGCAAGCGGCGGGCAAGCTGCTGGTCGCTGACGCCAGACTCGCGGCCGATGACGTCGCTGACTGTGATTGGGCCACGATCCTACCACCCACACTCCTCCTCCGCACGCTGTGATTGGTCTATTTAACCTGCTTGCCCAGTCAACAAAACATTACCAAATTCTTCACCACACCCACCACAGCCAGCCCAAGTCAGTGATAGTGAGGATATGGACTTTGAGGGTTTGACAAGGAGGCCTGCTAGCCTCTGTGGTGGATAGTGATACAGGTGATACAATTGATACAGGTGAGGGCCAATAATCTGCCTCTGCCTCGAACCAACCCCCATCCCCATGTGCCCAGCCATCTCTTCTACTAACGTAAGTGTCAAAAAACCTAATATTATTGATATTTCTCTAAAATATTAATTGTGTGTGCATACCATCATAAAATTAAGATGTTATTTTTACTACAACGTACGTATTGTCGGAAAAAGGGTAGTCTGGCGGTCGGCCCAGTCTCTATTACAATTAATCCCATATATTCTGTTATTTTATTTACGCTGCTTTCGCAGTATAATGGAGACCTCCATGGGTTAAATTAGCCGTGTAAACCCAGACTATACTGTACTGTATTTTAAGTTGTTTTAAATATAATTATTTATCGTTTTTATACATTTGGTGCATTCGCCAAAGATTTGGACAATCGACTTTTCCAGACAGGTGGTCCCCCCTTTTAGTCCTGATCTTCGAGGGTTCACTGTACTGTAATTATACTTCTTGAGTGTATATTAACTAATTTGGAGCAATAGAGCAAATATAGAATCCCCTCTTGATTTACTATCATTCATTCAATCTTAATGCTGTTACAGATGAGTTAAGCTTTGATGTTGCCTCTTTACACTGTACAGTACAAATACTGCAACACAATAATGTCTGCTCTTTTTTTTTTCCACAGTCTTCAATATGTAGTTTTCAGCTGTTATGTGCACATCTAAAAAGTTTCAGATTAAAGATTGTATCAGCCTTACTTTTGAATATTAAATCATGTCTTTGGGACCATTTCATTAAATTGGCTATGTGTAGGAAGAAGAGTAAGTGGAGAACAGGATGTCATCGTAGTTGTTTCTGTGGTCTTTACATATCAATTAATTTTTCATTCCTTTCAGAATTACACTTCTGAAGACCTTGTATATTATATGGTGAATTTGGTTGTGGACAGCCCACAAGATGTGTATGAAGCCAGGGTGGGAGTGATGCCACTGTTTGCCAGTATTTCTATATGTGAACACCTCCCAAGTAATGTTCACAAGGCTTTGGAAATCCTCATGAACCATAAATCAGTCTCACTTGATTCTGTAAGTTCCTGTTTAAAAATATTAAAAAATATTCGGTAATACTGTTCTTATAATGTTAATACTTGTCTTTTATTATGTACTTGATCCAGCCACCCACTTCATCATGCTTAAATTTGTATCTAAATCTGCAGTATAACATTCATCACCGAGCAAGTCCTTCATGATCAGTACAGTCATGACATGTACACAAACAGTACGTAGTTGCTTTCTAGCATAATTTAATACAAATATTATGATTTTTTTCAGGTGATTATTTCAGAAAGCCATTACTTGCCATAGCTCAGGAGTTGTTTAATCTTGGTTATTGTCATCCCAAGTTGGTTAAACTGATCACCAGTCCAGACACCCTGAGTTTGTGAGTATTATATAGTACTGTACCTCCTTTATTGTTGTTGTGACATATATCCCTGGATACCCTGTGCTCTTACTGCTAAGCCATAGATGGAGAAGTATAACAAAAGTTCGACCTTCATAACATTTGTAGCTTTCGAAGACTTTCCTATGAGGTGTGTGTGTGTGTACAGTACAGTATAGTACAGTACAGCCTCGAATAATGACGGTAATGTGTCCTCCAATATTGAAGTGTAAGGTGAATCATTGTATCGTGAATCATTAATTACCATTAAAATAAAGCAATACTAATGAGATGCATTCCTTAGTCTGACCTTTTCATATCTTTTGTGTGGCTTTTACCCCTTTTCTCAAAATAATAAAATTAATGAGAAATATAAACTGTTCTTTAAATAATGTTTATGAATGCACCTTATGCAATATAAATCAATAACAATATGGTCACAAGAGGAAATGGGACGCCATTGTTGTTGTCTGTGTTTACACCCATGTTGTCAGTCAGCGAGCTGGCTGCTGTGATTGGCCGCCCACTCCTCTCACTCACTCACTGACAGGACGAGAGCATCCGATGATGCTAAAGCCAAGCCCATACTTTCCTGTCTGCCACCCTATTTTCAAAGGGTTTTCAACCTTATTTACTGTCTAGTAAGGAGATCTTACCCACTACCATCGTATAGAGCTAGGTCGAAAATAGCGCTTTCCAACAAAAAGGTTTCGCCTCGGTGGTCTGAGTTACCCTTACGCGGGACCTCATTAATGTAAAAAAATATGTATGTTTTAATTAATGTTATTTACACTCCTCGCCATTGCATTATGCACGAGGTGGCTGACGGAAAGTGATCTTTTCTGAAGTGTCTCATACCCCTCCATGCCAGCCAGCTGGGACTGAGGCAGGCATTGTACATCTGGCAGCGAAGGGAGACTCGAGGACAAGTCAGCCAGCAATCAAAACGTTTACCAGTTGCCCGTGAAATTTTTTGAACGAAGATTTATGAGTTTTACCCCCCGGACATTGCCCCTATTTATTGCCACAACGCCCATTGTTTCTTTGCTTTTTATTACCACAATGGGCAAGAGGAAAGATTTAACAAAAGAGCAGATAGTGTCAATTATTAGTTAACACAAAGGCAAGAAACCTGTAAAGGAAATATTAAGAATTGTTGGTGTGAGTGAATGATCAGTTCAGATTTGGATTAAACGATTTTGAGATGATGGCGGGTTGGCAATACCAGTGCACAGTGAACAGCCAGGGAAGGCTCGAAAAACTACCCAACGCATGTTAACTGGTCTTAAGAGGCAACTTGATGCTAATCCACGTCTGTCAGTACGGGAATTGAAAGAAAAAACCTGTGCTTCTAGGTGATGTTCCTGTAAGGACCGTTCACCGCGATCCATATCGACCTGCAGTTTCGCAGCCACCGCGCACGCAAGAATCCACTCCCCACCCTTGTCCAGAGGCAGCGTAGGTTACTTTTGCCAAGGCTAATGCTCAGTGGGATACGACCAAGTGGCAGCACGCCTGGAGTGACGAGGCAACATTTTCTTTTACTGGAAGTCGTACTTTTAATGTGTACAGGCATCCAGGGAGTGATTCGCTTGACCCCAAGTTCACTTTAAGTACAGTTAAGCATCCTGAGTCACTAATGGTGTGGGGTTGCTTCTCATTTTGGAACTGGTAATCTTGTTGTGATACCTAGGAATGTGATGATGAACAAATTTAACTACTTGGAGCTGCTTTATGATTATTTGCCCAGGTCTTTTGAAAAATGCCGTGCTGATGTGTTTATACAGGATAGTACCCCATGACACAAAGTAAAATCTGTATGGTAATACAATCGCTTGTTGACTGTCAGGTAGATTTCATAAGTGTTTGGTCAGGCAATTTGCCTAACCTTAACCCGATAGAAAATAAGTCGAGCATTATCAAGCTTCGTCTACACGGCAAGGACACAAATACTGTCCCGAAGCTGGAGGCAGCCTTTCGGAGGAGTGGAATAATTTAGACCCACAAATAATCCACAGCTTGGCAGAGTCACTTTACGCCTGCAGGAGTGTATCAAGAGAAAAGGGAGGCCTATAGACTACCGGAAGTTTGTTAACTTCTCAGATTCATTTTTTATTAATATTTCATCTTGTTGTTAATGTTCGTCACAACCCCACACATAATACAATGGCGAGGAGAGTAATGTATAGTAGAAGTAACCACTGATGGTAAAGAAAAAATTGAAAGACTGATAGCGGAACAACAACGTATGTACCGGTACATGAACACTTATGGAAACATGGCATCATTTATCTTATCAAGAATATGTACAAAATAGTCATTATTGTTTATTACTGAATATCTATTTGATTGAATTAATATTTATTTATGCAAAATGAACGTATTCATTAATAATGCGTAGAATATTAAAGCACATAAGAAGAGACGGCACTGTTTTTGTTAGTGTTTACACCTGTTATGATGGTTGTACATGTGAAACTGAAGAAAATAAGACCCTGGTTGTAGCTGTAGCAAAATTAATGTAAAAAAAAGAATATTTGTTTTAATTAATGTTATTTAATGTAAATAATGGAACATTAGAAGTATCTTACCACTAATAGTAAAGAAAAAAAAGCGAAACGGATTGCAAGCATGTGAAAGCATATCGTCATTTCTACATAAGAATATGAAAGCAACACTTATTGCTGTTCATATGTGTTTAAGTAAATACTTACAAATGTAAAACAAAAATTCTACTCACCAATGGTAGTAAAGTAGAAAATGTAAGGACAGCCAATGTTGTTGTGTGAGTTTTACTCAGATGATGTTCCTAAGTCATCAGGTTCAACTCTGGCTGAAGCTGTAGCTTTCCAAAAAGATTTCATAGCTGCTGAAGCTGGTGCAGAAACTGTTGCTTAACCTGTAGCTGTTGTTGAAGTTGCTGCTGATGCTGAATTTGATGGTGTAGCTGAACCTGAAGCTGAGGGTGTAGCTGTAGCTGAAGTTGATGGTTTAGGCCTTCCAATAAAAATTGTGTAAAAAACCTTGCACAGCTGCTTTTTTTTCATTGCAGTAGGATTTCAAGTTTAGCGAGCTTTAGATTCGTGATTCATATGTTTCGCATCACTTTTAAAATTTCCAGCCTCTTAAGAATAGCGATTTTCATTATTGGTTTCAAGTCAATGGAGAGTGGGCAGCGTGCATTGTTTTGGTCCTTTGTTATCTGCTGTGTTTTTTGTTTACTGCAGTTAGTTTGAATGATTGAGAGCGGGCAGTGCAGTGACCTTGGATTATATAACCCATTGTGCTTACGTTTCGCGAGATTCTTGTTTAACTATTAACGATTCTTGTGTATTAACGATTTTTGTGTATTGACGAGGAGGTGCGTAATGTAAATGTCGGGAACAGTTCTGTTGGTAATGATGGCTTTAAAGAAGATCAACAAGGAAAGCCCCAAGCCAAACGAGGCTACTTTAAGAAGTTCAAGAAGAGGAAATACACCCTTGAAATGATCAAAAGTGGTGATCGTACTTTGAAATCATGTGTAGGTTCATCTGTCCTGAATCAACCATACGTTCCCTTATGAAGAACAAAGAAGCCTTAACTGCTTCTGTGAATGTATTCTCAAGATTTTCTAGTAATAGGACATTCTTCGATATCACAACAAACTACTGCTTGTTATCACAGAACATTACCTTCACAAGTAGGTGGAAAGAAGAAACCATGAGCAAGGTGACCTGTCTGGGCCACAGATAAGGCATCAAGCATGTGTTTATAATGCTGCAGTTGCACAGAAGAAACATGTTAACTCCACCACCGTTCATTGCTTCTGTTGGTTGGTTGCTTTTCAGAAGTGTTACAAAGTGAAGTTTACCCACTACCATGGGGAGACGAAACAGGCATTTTCTTGAAGTGCTCACCAAAGATCACTTTCAATGTCAAAGGTGAAAGGGGTGTAAAAACTTTAAAGGACAGGATTACAGTATTATTCACAGCTAATGCAAGTGGATATTTCTTGATGTGGATCAATTTTCCCCATAAGAAATAGATAAAATACAGGCAGGAGTTATGTTCTTGAGCCTCCCTTTGCCCCATGAAATACATTACATGTACAGAAAATCATTTCCATTTCTATAGAAAATTGTGCATACATATATAACTACTAAGTTTGTATAGGTACTCACCAACGGGTGGAGGTGGTAGAGCTAGTGTGTGGTGGGTAGTGAAGCGGAGGAGCCTGGTGGGAGGGGAAGAGTACAGCGGGAGCGGAGGAAGTGGTGGGGGCGGAGAGGAGGAGGGTGGTGAGTCACTGAGACTCTGCCGAGCCGAGAGAGCGTATCACGGCCAGACGAGAGAGGGTGATGCGCCATAAAAAGTGGTCAGTGACAACGAAAACAATGTTGTACCGAGTCGTTGGGACGTTAAAATTGCATCTAAAGATTAGCGACGTAGTACCGAAGCAACATTAAACGGGCCGATGTTATACAAGGACTTGCTGTATACAGTATAAGAAATACAATACAGTAGGCTCGCCAATAACGTTTAATATGTGCCTGAAAAACACCGTTATTAGCGAAAACGTTATTTGTGTGACATTAAAATACATGTAAAAAGGGTTTATCGGTGCTGCTGCCACAAGAATTTCACCCATTTTTTCCCCTTGAAGCCCTCCTAACACTTTTTGTTAGCTGAAATAAAAAGAATTGCTATTCAATCATCAAAATAAAGAGTTTGAGTAATATAACACTTAGTTTTTGAGGTGCTTGGTGTGATGATTGTTCCGTATCTGAGGGCCGCTTAACTGTCTTTCATTCTACAAGCTAACCATTTCTCAAGAAAATGCTCTGTTATCACTAACAACCTGTTTCTATCGCTTTATCATTCATAGTCGCCTCAGATTTCACATACTACTGAAATATTTTTAGCCAACACAATACTCTTCTTGGTCTCCTAAGTTCCTCTTAATATTTCGCACTGTAGACCAGGACAGTTCAATTTCCTCACTTTAAAAGTTCCCAGTC